GAAAATGTGTCGCCTTTGTGGGTCACTCTGGTTGTGTGTTGTGCTGTGTGTGCTGTGTGTGCTGTGTGTGTGGTGTGTGTGGTTATGCTCACTCAGAGGTCTTTCTGAAACCATTCTGCTCACTCAGAGATCATTAATCATAATGAATGCTATGGCGATTGCGATTGTCCCTACTTCGAAGCAATTGCTGTCGGATTGAGGTAGTCATTGAAGGGGTCTCCGTCTCCATCTCCGTCTCTGTCTCTGTCTCGGTCTCCACACACTCGAGAGTTTAACGAGCAAATTAATGGGAATTATGCATGCTGCTTGGCTGCTTTAGCTGCTTGGCTGCTGGGCTGGTTAAAAGCGTAAACTTTAATTAACTTTGGCTGTCAGGTCGGTCCGCAATTGCCGTACAGCCCGACGGACACCCGATTAACATATACAAATGCCTATCAAGTGTCTGCCATCGCGAACGGTCTATAAAAATGGAAAATATATCCAAACGCGCAGTCACAGGCTCAAAGTCAAAGTGGAGCGGCCCGGGCTAATTGAAATGCATTGAAAGTGCGTGAGACCAATAACAGCAGCGGCAGCAGCAAGTCGTAAAGATATGCTGGGAGATTAAGACTATAGGATACCCGCTAAAACGATCCATAAAATCATCTACATATATGTATACGCTCACACTTGACAGAACGCAGTACGGACTAGTGCAGGATAGCCCCCATGATATCCCCCTGCCTGTCGCATACTTCCGCTCGAACACCATATACCCTTGACACTCCCCCAGCACCGGGGTATACCCAACCGCACCGACTGCTACTGCTACTGCTGCTGCAGCTGCGTGTGAAATGTCAGGCTGTGGCAAGCTCCGGCTGGTTGACATTTACCAGACCTGCGAGTAGTAGGCCCAAAAATCGTAGTCTCGTGCACTCTCGCATAACTTAATTACTCGAGAGCTCTGGAGGCTTGGCGAACGTCTCTATTCGAGCCGATCTCTCGCCCTTCCGCTGCCGCTGCTGCTGCCGCTGCCGCTGCTCTCCTGTAGGCCAATGAATATTACAATTTAGGCAACTGTCATTTCTTGCATAATAAATGGGAATATATAAAAAAAGTGACACTTGCCAATCTGCACCGTGTGATGTATGACGTTGACCTGATTTCTGCCTGCTTTTTATTATCATTTCCATCGGCTGCATGTTGATTTCTCAGGTACAAAACACAATCCGTGTCTTGTCGAACTGTCTGCCCCTGTCAGTACACACCTTTCCGTGACGCGCCGCCGAGCGGCAATTTGTCTTTGCCTCTGGGGCGCCATTTATAATATTTCATCTGGAATTGTTCGCCGGCCTGGGCTGGTGTGTGGGCAGCAGGTTCAAAGTGTTAAGTGTTAAGTGTGATTGGGCCTACATGTGTAATACAAGGCGTATGTCCATCGAGAGGTACCATTCCATAGAACCGCTTTGGCCGCCTCGCCGCCTGTGGCAGCCACAAGAGTCAGGATGGCCGAGTGGTCTAAGGCGCTGCGTTCAGGTCGCAGTCTACTTCTGTAGGCGTGGGTTCGAATCCCACTTCTGACAAGATTTTTTGCACCTTTTTCCCAAAGAAAGTTGTTGAGATTAATGGTTAATACTTTATAGAATAAAGTCTGTAGTTAATCTGGCGATTATGTTTTATTTAAATGATCGTGGCTTGATTTGAACTCTCTAAAAATACTCTTTAAATTGATTGGGCGAGTAGAGGTCCTGACTCTCGTTGTTTCAACAGTCAGGATGGCCGAGTGGTCTAAGGCGCTGCGTTCAGGTCGCAGTCTACTTCTGTAGGCGTGGGTTCGAATCCCACTTCTGACAAGATTTTTTCACCTTTTTCCCAAAGAAAGTTCTTTAGATTAATAGTTAATACTTTAAAGGATAATTTGGCGATTGTGTTTTATTTTAATGATCGTTGCTTGATTTGAAGGAAGCGTTTTCGACCCCATAAAGTATTTATAGTCTTAATCAGCATCAATAGCCGAATCGATTTCTTCATTCTGGACGTTGATATGCAATGACTGCATCTTTCAAGTGGCGGTATATAGTTTCTAGTGAATCTAATAGGAATCATGAGGGTTATCTACATCACCCTTGATCAAGTTGTACTCATTTTTCTACGATCAACTAAGGATATAGCCATGTCTGTGTATCCGTCCCGATGAGCGCCTAGATCTCAGAGACTATAAGAAGTAGAGCAAGCAAATTTTATAGCCAGACTCCTGTTATAACACACTGAATCAAGTTTTTTTTCGAAATTTTGAAACGCCGTCTTCCGCCTCCACAAAGGACGAAAGTCTGTAAAGAAACAAGAATCCCGAGTTTACGTGGTTTTTAGGATTGAGGATCCTAGAAAACCAAAAACGCAGAATTGGAGAAAAGGACCATCTAGTAGATTGCCGAATCTAAGTATATCAGTTTGGATTATTATTATAGCCAGAAGGAATACAATAATTTTCAGTCCACGCGCTTATTCCTGTTCCGTCTCTCTCTCACCCACTCTTCGTCGTGTAATGAGTGCGCGGACTCTGGCGGACGGGGCCATACCGAATGGCCATCGGGTATATGTAGATGTAGAGTTGCGGTCGCAGCAGCAACTCACAATGTTCCCGCTCGTTTTTAATGGTACATAAGACAGACAGAGAGAGAGAGAGAGAGAGAGCGAGAGAGATCGTATGGCCATGATTAGCCATGAATCGGAATGGGACCATTCCCCCTCGTTTGTAATGAAACCGCGGAGGCATCTAACGAACGTTACATGCGTTGCGTTACCAAATTCTGGGATAATCATCTACCGTTCCGTTAGCCGAGATTGGGCCATTTTTCTGGTATGTTTTTGTTTTTTAGAGAATTCATTATGTTAGACGGGCTTTGTGGAAAAACTTCTATCAAGAATCATCTCTCTCATAGGAGATAATAGAAAAGGAAAATATGTACATATGTCTATAAAAATACCAAAAGATACCGAAAAGGTAAACTTTTCCTAATTATTGTTTATCAAAGTTATTGATAAGTTATTTAGTTATTTTCATTGACTTTTCATGTTTATCGTAATGTAATGCTTTTCATGAAATAGGTTTCTGCAGTGCTACCTAAAGTTACAACGTCGAAATCTTCCCTTCCTTTCTTTTTCATGTAATTCTATTCTATTCTAATTATATTTTTTTCCAAAAAAAAAATCCTTCTTCGAAAAGTATGTTCTGTCACAACGGTTTCTAAGAGTCAGGATGGCCGAGTGGTCTAAGGCGCTGCGTTCAGGTCGCAGTCTACTTCTGTAGGCGTGGGTTCGAATCCCACTTCTGACAAGATTTTTTGCACCTTTTCTCTAAAGAAAGTTATTTTGATTAATGGTTAATACCTTAGAGGATAAGGTTTGTAGTTAATCTGGACATTATGTTTTAGTTAAATGATCGTTGCTTGGTTTCAACTCTAAAATACTCTAAAAATACTCTTTAAATTGATTGGGCGAGTAGAGGTCCTGACTCTCGTTGTTCCAACAGTCAGGATGGCCGAGTGGTCTAAGGCGCTGCGTTCAGGTCGCAGTCTACTTCTGTAGGCGTGGGTTCGAATCCCACTTCTGACAAGAATCTTTTTGTGATTTTTTTTCCATTCCATTCCCCATACAAAGAACGATAGTTGTTTGCCTCTCCTGATCTTCATCGAATGGCAAGCAAATTCCATGATGAGGGGCGCCATAAAAAATTACAAGTAAATCAATTTGTAGCCGCCTAATTGTCAATATTCCAATCACATAATCTGCTGGCAGTTAACGACGATTGCCCTCCGGCTGTCGCTCAGACATACAGAATAGACCACACAGCGATGATGGGCGATGTCGATGGGAATTATCACCGTCTGGCATCGCCGCGTCGGCAACGGGGGCACACACTTCCACTCGGAGAAGTCTATTTCATTCACTTCAATCAGACAGAAATTAAAATGCTGACTGAGCGCGATTTCAAATGCAGTCAGCACTCCGCTCCGGTCGGCCCACTCACATCTGTTCTTGGGAAAAACAGATCGGGCCTATCTATAACTATGCTTCTTTGCTGTTCTGTTCTGCTCTGTTCTATGCCCGTAGCCATAGCCGGTCATAAAATGCAATCAACTTGAGCACACACACAGACAATTGACAATTTGGCCGGAATAATTAATTGCTGGCAAAAACAATGAAAATTAACCCCCACCCCCCCATCAAAATATGTAGTTAGCTATTAAACTTTTATGATGTGCATTTTAGCGCCTGCAAGGCCTGGAAAATTGAGGCTGCCTCTGGCTACGAGTACAACTGATGGAACAATTGACAAGTGACAGCCGATTTCCATAGACAATTCGAGTGGGGTGCGGGTGGGGGTGGGGGTGGGGGTGGGGCGTGGCTGGGCTCCAGATGGAAAGAAATATGAAATATGAGTGATGTGACAAGTGGATGCTTATCTTTAGATCCAAGCCCCTTCTTTTTCAGCGTGGTTTTTCTCCATCGCCTAATGAGCAACTATTGAAATTTATGACAGTGTCGAGCCGCCAATTGATTGGCTTTTAAATAATAGTCAAATGAGTATTTGCCAGCCGCAAATTGCCTGTAAAATGTATGTAATTAATGAACAGAAATAGCCTGAAAAACACCTGCGTTTCTTCGAATTTTTATTTATGGAAAAGCTTTTAACACTATTAATTTTGAGTTGGTTAAACTTGTCGATTCAACATTGCTGCTAAATTTATGACTCCTCGTAATTGATAAGCGCAACTGCTATCCAAATTTAAATTTTAAACGGAAAGCTAAAGCTCTTACAGCGATAATTAATAAATCCAAAGGAAACAAAACGTTGAGAGCTTTTAACTGAAAGAGATCCACATGCTCATGCTCTCTCTGCTCTCAAAAACCAAGCTTAATCAGCTTTCAAAAGCTTTCTGCGCCTTCAAAACGACGAAAATGAAACTTTGGTAGTCATACCGTGACGTAGAGAGTAGAATCATCAAGAACAGAGCCCGGGCCTGAGGCACGGAACGGCACCCAGCGTTAATTAAGATAAGCCATGCCATTCGAAATCAAAGGAATTCATCTGAAATTGAATTTTAACGTGTTAAAAAGCCCCCAGTGGAAAATCGTCACACTGATAACAACGGCATTGAGCAGCGGATAGAGAGAAGCGCGGGTATTCAACTTAAGAGTGCAGCTTCGGTGCAGCAACAGACTGAGAGAGATAGAGAGAGCGTGAGAGAGTGAGAGAGCGATTAGGAGGAGGAGGAGTAGTGCAACAGGTAAAAATTATGTACACTAGATACAAAAAAGGGATGATGCGAGTTAAAAGTAAATGAGTCAACCATTTGTGTGGAATTTTCATTGGTTTTTTTCGTAAATATTAAACGGCCAGACAGCAAGAGCAACGGCAACAGTAGCCAGCCAGCCACGCGGGGACCGTGTAAGCTCTAGTTCTACGAAAGCTGAAAGCTTTACATAATGCAACAAAACAAAGCTGTCGCCAGAGTGGGATAGAACCCAGCCGGAGAGTGGGAGCGGTGTGTGCTTTTCGCTCTTTGTGGTTTTTCACTGCTGACGCTGGTGTATTGTTGTTGCTGTCTGTGGCCTCCCTAGCATGCTTCAGCTAAGTACATGAACAAACAGAGCAGCATTACGCGTACATACTACGTATTACTTTCTTATCCGTACATGTGTTTCTTCCAGAATGACGAGCAATCTGCAGATAAGCCAGGCAAGGTCCCTGCATCCCAGTGCCCAGACTTGGTTGGCGGTACCTTCGAGGATTTGCCTGATGGGCTGTCAGGACGTGAAGCAGTCGGAGCTGCGTCGCTTTCCAGTCAACGATGCCCAACGGTGAGTTGCCAGAATTTCCATAATTCCAGAACCACTTGAAACCTGTTTACATAGGAATTCGTTCCGTCTCCAAAGCTTTACGATCAAAGCTTAGCTTGTTGTTTTCTTTTTGTTTTGCCCAAGACAAGAGAGAGCTTTCGCTTGTTCCTCTTCGATTATTACCAGTCAAAGGTTATTGAACTGTCTGTGTCTCTCTGCGATCGCTTGGATATCATAGAAAATTTCAATGCCAGCAAAGTGCATTTGTGTGAGTGTTGCAATTATGCTGATGTGGGTGAGCAGCAGCTGGAGGAGGGGGCGCGTCATTGCGTTTATTTATAGCTCTCACGCTCTCCTTTAATGCGTGTGGGGGCTTCTTCTTCTCTTCCTTTACATCTTTCTCTCTCTTTTTGTTGTTATTCTGTGATCTGCAAAAACATTCTGTTTGCTTTGGCATTGGCCATGGAGCTTAGGGTGGACCGTGCTTGCGATGCCCTTTGCATAGGGCATTACTGGTATGATTTTGATTTGATGTTTGCACTGTATCTGAAAACATCAGTTGGTTAGGAGAAGATATAAAAAATAGAGGATGGGCAAAACAGCTAACTAAAAACTTCGAATTTACAGTGTATGTATGCATGTAGGGGCAACAATAATTTACGTAATAATATTCATGTAACCCATGTAGCATGGTCCACCCTAATTGGTTGACTTGTCGACTTCTTGCCTATCCATAGTATATGAGCAGCACTTCCACCATCATCCACCACAGCGTCGGAAGCGCGAGAGGAGAGGGTGGAGTAGAAGCTGCGCTGCAACAACACAAAACAACACAACACAACAGAAATGTGCCGGTATTAATGCAAAGACATGCATGTCGCTAAACTTCCGTTCAGCTTTCGTTCTCATTCTCTCTCTCTCACAGACTAACCAAGCGCGTGTAAGTAATAGAGGGAGAGAGCATGTGCATGAGCATAAAAAAGCTTTCCTGACACAAAACTTCTGTGCGTGTGTGTGCTGGGAGAGAGAGAGAGAGAGAGTGGGATCTAATTTGAAAGCTGCGGCGGGAAAGCGTCCAAAAGAACAAAACTTCAATGCAGTTTTTGCAGTAAACAAAGAACTGCCAAAGCGATTGCACTATTTGCGCCATCACTCCCTCTCTCTTTCTCGCGATCTCTGTGGAATAATTGGTGTGTTTACCTACAAGAATGGTTGTTTATATTTGATAAATGGTTGATAAAATGTGTTAAGTTAACTAAAAGTTGGGCTTCGCAACAAACAATACCCTCGCACACACATACTAATGCTATCCATGCTACTCTTGCAGCTGCAACCATTGGCTTCGGCATTTCGGTGTGAGCGATCAACGTGTGGAGAAGCTTGGCGGTCTGCAAAAGCTTCGCATCTGCTCCAGGCATTTTCAGAATATGGCCAAGACGCGCATCAAGATGACGCCGCTGCGCAAATCCAAGGCCATACCAACGACAACAAACACAACAGATACAAATACTACAGGAGGAGGAGGTGGAGTAGGAACAGTAGGAGCTGCAAAGCCCATTGTGGATAACAACACCACCATACAACTGGTTAATGTAAGTCAGGCCCTAGCCCGTACCATTGGACGTCTTAACAATCGTCTTCTTTATTTCAGATCCCCATAAGAGATCCACAGAAACCGCAACAGGCCAAGAAATCGGTGACTACCATCACCCCCGTGCCTCAGCGCTCTCACTCCATCTGCTCCTCGGCCTCCAGCGATGTGCAGTCCATCAACTCCGACTACGAGGTGGCACTGCCACTGGCCTCCCTGGTGGAGTCGTCACACAATGGAAATTGTTTCCTGGAGAATGGAACTACTAGCCCGAAAAATGCCATGGATCGCCCGGAGAATGGCCAGCCGAAGAAGCGGAAGCTCTACTTGATCACTGAGAAGTCGGACGAGAAGAACGGCCATGATTCAGAGACGAATGGCCAGCCCAAGAAGCGAAAGATGTTCGTCGTCGTGGAGCAGGAGAAAGAGTCCGTGCCCAAGAAGCTGATGATTGTCAGCGACAAGCCACAGGACAATCTCACCCAGCATTTGGAGAAGCTGCTGCCCCAGATACTCAACCGCATTCAGGACAAGGAGCAGAAGCAGGCGAAGCCGCCTCCTCTCGCAGTGACAGTGAAGGAGAAGCCGGTGGTCCACAGGCCACACATTACATTGCCGCCCAAGAAGAATCCCACAAACTTTGTCAAAATGGAACCGGACTCGGTTCAAGCCACAGTCTCCGTTGTAGCTCCACTGCCGCCACCTATTCAATGTGTCAAGATCATAAAGTCCGAGAAGGAAGAAAAGGCAGAAAAGGAGGGGGAGGCCACAAAGATGATTTCCGAGACCAACATTAATCTCTCGCCCGACTTTCGCTTCCTCATGAAGATCTTGCCGAAGTTGGAGCAGTTGCCCGAGCCGCACAAGCAGGACGTGAAGCGGTCTATTCAGATCTTCGTGGAGAAGAGCTACAGTATCTATGGCAAGAAGAATCAGATATAAGAACATACATATATACATATGTAGGTATACAGGAAGTATACTCGTCCTAATTCTAATATTCGTTTGGTCAAGTTCCCCATTTATTTGAGAAAAGGCATTTTTAATTACGTTGTCTAAGACTGAAGCAGAACCAATTTAATTTTATAAGCAAATCAAAAGCAGAGCTGGAACAGCCATCTCATCCCCCATTAGGATGTTAAGCAGACCAAAATTTGATATTACCCAATCAAAGACAAAAATGGGTACATTTTGAGAGAACTAAGCCATACACAAGCATCTAAGCATACAAGACAGAAATGTTAAATTATTCGAGAGAAACAATTTCTATATTGAATATAAAAAACCGTTTTATTGAGCACAACTATCTGGTGTTAATTTCACTGGGAGCGCTGTTTGAGATGTGGGCAGGGTTGTGAAAATCACTCGATCTGAGATACTTTAACGAACACAGGAAGCTATGTCTAGTCCAAATGGGCCCACAAATTGCAGAGAGAATTAAATGTTTTGGACTGGAAAAGGACTCAGCAAGGACTCCATAAAGTCAAGGATGAGACGCCGCACGCCCAGGTCGGTTTTCAAATATGCAACAAAATGTTCTCCAACCAAGGATCAAGGATATTTTCCCCTGTTACCCATACATACCTACGGTCCTTCGCTATTTATCATTCGATCAGGGCGTGCCACGACTTTTTGTTATCGGGAGAACATCCTCGATCGATTGCAGTCAGATTCGGATCAAAGACAATAAGGTTTAACGTTTTTAACGTTATAAACCGCTATAGCTCCACCATATCTAATCCGATCTTGGCGTGACTCTCCTCCTTGTGGTCGCGATAGTGTCCCCGATCGTTTTCAATCACTTGGGCATTGAGAACAATAAGGATATTGCCTCTTAAGCGTTATTCTGTAATAGATTTTAAATGAAAATAAAAAATTAGGATAAAAAAAAATAATAATAATAAAATAATATTTGATCTTGCATGCCCATCTGGAGCTGCTTATTGACATGGCCACCAAGGTGGACGAGATGTAGGATATATGGGGATCGAATTAATAATTACAGACAGCTACACTTAACACTTACATACTTCATACGTCAATATTCGACTCCTTCATTATCATATTTTAAATGGCTCTGTTCAAGTGTTTCTTGGTTGTTGTTCTCTTGCTTCTTGGTTGTAAAATTAATTAATACACTTAAATACTTTTAAATAGATGTGTAAATAAATATCTATGTTTGAGCCCGCAGAAGTTTCTTTTCGTCTCAATTTGTTTTCTAATTTAGATTTTTTAAACATGTTGCTATTGTGTTGCATGTGTCTCCGTGAGTGTGAAAAAGAAGAGAATGGCATGCCCGATTGGCCCCGACTGAAGGAAATATCCTTGATTCCTAGACTCCATCAAATCAGGGACATCTTTTCGTGGCACGCCAGGATCGGCCCACAAATAACGGAGCTGAGGGTTTTGGCTAGCCCAAAAAGTATGTTTGATATTTTGTGAGTGGGCCATGCCAGCCCAGAAGTATGTCATACTTTGGGGACTGTACACAGTAGTAGAGTTTAAGCGAGCGGGAACTTTGTGAGCCGCGGCAAGGGCCACGGCTTTACTGAACTCAATTAGTATATACAAATGTGAGCTTATGATTGATGTTATTTATACAATAAATTTTATATGTGGTTGTCACTGTTCGCAAAAGGGGCCAATTGATTTTTTCCCACGAACAATTTTCATAGTAATCGCTCGAACCGTTTTTATATATATTCGATTTGATCGGTTTTCATTTTCTTGAAATTTTGCTTGGCGCTTTCTCTTCTTTTCTATTCTCTCACAAACAACAGCCGTTTTATCTAGTTCCCTTTTGCCAGAGTATGCACATTGCACGAGGATGAGTGAGATAGAGCGATAGAGAGAATTAGAGGGCGCGTGGAAGGGAAGCTCAACCGCGGCAATTTCTTTGTTCTTTCCGATCTAATACAGATTCGGCAATCTGCTAGATATTCTCCAGTAATAATATTGAATGGGCGTGCCAGGTCCAATTTTGATCGGCTGGAAAGGAAAGTAAAGGACAATTTGCTTGGTTTTAATATAGATTTTCTTTATATATTTCTTTGTATACATATATATTCGAGTGTATGCACACAACTGCTTGGATTAACACATCCTAAAACTGGGCTTTGAATGATGCTCGTAATACTTAGGGAGTTTGAGGATGGGGTCTTGGGATTATTGAGCCTCGTAACAGAGAGAGAAATCGAAGTAATTATTTGTTAATTTGGGACACTACTTTGGCCTCACTGTGTTTTGTGCTGAAATTGGGGCTGTCCAAAGTGTTTACAGGAGTTCAAGTTATTTGTGGTGTTGTGTGATATCCTGGGTCCTCGTTTATAAAGTGTGTTCTTAGAAAGGGAAGCTATTACTGATTGCCTTGAAGCGGTTTCAAGAGTGGGATTTACAAACCTAAAATTAACTATTTACATGTCTCGGATGTTGCACCATTTGTAGGAACAGATAAATCATATATGTATTCAAATTTTGAATGGAGCTTGCGGGATTATACAAATTGGTTATAAGTTTCTCATTTTGATGAAGGGGCAAACATTTGTTGTAGAATTTTATTTGTATTATTTAATAACCGCACAAAAAATACATCGTATGTTCGTCGTGCCCGATCCTACTCGATGTAGATGTCCTCGATGGGATAAGCAGTTTCAATGAATTTCTGATAGAAACGCTGAAAGGCCCGTCTGAGGAAGGATACAAGAATATATGTTAAGGTTTATCTTTGTGAGCATTTGATTTGAATGAAAACTTTACCCAACTGCCTCGGCCACTGGCCTGGTGGACTCTGAGCCCTTGAAGACGTGGCAGGCAAAGCGCTGCACTGTGGGATGCTTCGTAATGAAGCCAATGAAGCGATGATCGCGAGGGTGAAATGCACAGAACGAGACGTTCTTCAGCGAGTAGAAATAGTCGATGCAGGGCTTCTTTTCCTTTTTGTTCTAAGGGGAGAACAAACACAAAGGCTTCCTGTAGGATGACTCATTAACAGTTAGAGCGACATTCAGTACTTACATTGGGGCCCGAACGATCCACCATGCGTAGTCCCTGATCGGAGACCTCCAGAATACAGGTCTGTCCGGTGGGGGAGGCACCGTATTCGCCCACGATTTTGCGTACCGCTTGACAGACCACGCCGGTGCCCTTGTGCGCCAGCGTCTCCACGGATCCGAGGTATCCAAGCAGATAGCGCTCCTTCTTCACCAGCTGCACCGTCGGATCGAACTCGTTGTAGTCCAAGTCGACGGCATAGGCCGACGGGAAGATGCCCTGCCTTCCTGTGCGCAAGTTCACGCCCTCGCACCACAAGTCCTCGGCCTCCTTCTGCACGTAGATGGCATCGCCGATCTCCAGCTCGATCTCGTCATGATGTCGTGGCACAAACTTGTGCAGTCCGCGGTGTGTGGCCTCCAGCATCTCCAACTGCCCGAAGGGCACGCCACCAAATGGCGGAGGAAACGGTGACTGGGAGACGGGCGATGTGATCTGTGGCGACATGCTCTTGAAGTCATTCGGCGAGTGCGCTGTGCTGTGGCCACTGTCCACATCCCCCAGGCTCTGCAGCCGCTCCGAATCGGGGCTGGAGTCTTCATCCATTAGATAGCCGCACTTCAGCGACAGGAATGAGCGTTGTTGTCCGGTGCGCGGTGCAGCCAAGGGACCTCCAATGATTCCGCCGCCTCCAGTTCGAAACTCATCGGCCAGCGATCCGTAGTTAGTGCCACCTAAAAGATGCAGAATGGAAGCTGCAACAAGGCCATGAGTGGGTAAGACTTCAGCTACGAATGGGGCAAGGATTCTGTCTACTTACATTTCTGGTTTTTTGGTATCTCGGGCAACTTGCGACGTCGCCGTGTGGCTGCCGCATTCGGAGTCAGCAGATCCGTGCTGGCGCCAATGGTCACGGGGGCCGACGAGAGAGCATTGGGGGCCATTCCCATGATGCCGCCAATGGCATCCTGATGGTTCAATGGGTGATGCCGATGTGAGTTGAACGAGTCGTTTGTGTCGAGAGAACCGTCCGATGAGAGTGTGACTTTGAGACCATCCCCCAGCTCGTCGTCCTCCACTTGGCGCAGCTTGGGCTCACGTTCACGTTCCGCCATGCCCATGCCCCCAATGCCATCCTCCTGGTCCGAGCCATCGCCATCGCTCTTCGAGGAGGTGGAGTCCTCCATATCATCGTTGGGAATTAAACTGAGGCAGAGTAGAGGAATTGTTTTGAGGACAGAATATTGAAGGACAGAACACGAGAGAATAACATCTTGAAAATTCGATATTTCAAAGAATGTTATCCAGAGGTTCTTTCGGAGCCACGTGTTTCGTTCGGGGAAAAAAATACTTTTCTTTTTACTTACGAGTAAAATGCATGGGAATTATTTTTCTTGTTGGCCGCTGCACCTGCTCCAAATGTGGCAATCGTATGTGGCTCAAATATCGGCCTATGGAACTCCTCGAACTCACTGTCCGCCATGGCTAACACTTGGGCTGCTGCTGCCAGCTGCCACACCCACACGGACTCAAGACGTTGCAAGTGCCTTCAATTAGAGGAGCTGCCTGAATCGGAACTCTGGACAATCCTCCCAGGAATTGGACAACTTTTCCACAGTTTTCCCAGAACGAACTGTCCAATTGAGTTAGAATTTTCACTTCTTCATGCGAAAATCGATAATTTCCTTGACGTTGTCTCGCTGCTGCTGCTGCTGCCTGGCTCTCGCACGAGTACTTGAGGCTTTGGCTCTGGCTCTGGCTCTAGTTCTGGCCCTGTCAGATGTCCAGACACGAGTATGCGTACGCGTATTACTGCTGCTCCGCTCTGCTCCGGGGAAATTTCAGAGGAATTTCAGCTGTCCAACTTTCTCTCTATTCTCTCTTTCTCCCTCTGGCCTCTCTCCAAACTTGTTTTTGTTTACAAGCTCTGCGGCGGTGGAGTCTCTCTCTCTATCTCTCTTGGGGGTTGACAGGAAACGCGCATGCGTCTGTACCGTACATCCGCTTCTCATGCGCTTGGGGGTGGCTTCAGAATTGCAATACTGTTGCGCTTTGGCTTGCGAGACACTTCCAGGGCTGGATTTCCGATGAAACGAGGGAGCATTGCAGTAGGGGCAACAAAATTATGACTTGGTGCAGACATATGCACTTTTCGAATAGAATGGAAGGATTGAATGCCAGGAATTCAATACTGAATAATTAATAAGGCATAAAGAATGTTGTGAACTACATTTAGACTGCCTTGATTGTGATGCTTCTGAAGCCAGGCAAATCAGTGATAGACTGATAAGCTTATTCCCAGTATTCTCAAAGATATTCGAAACAATATTCTTGAGTAAAAGTACTTAGAGCTGCTCAACCCATCCTCAAAGCTGATGAGACCTCAGGGGTGTTTCTCGATGTGAAACAAGCCTTCGACCAAGTCTGGCACAAGGGAGTTTTATGCAAACTAAAGATTCTCTTACCCGGCTCATCATCCACCTGCTACAAAGCCGTTGTTGAGCAACTCCAAGTGTACCCCGAATCCGCGGAAGATCCAGATCTAACCCTCAATAGTAGTCACTGCCACCTCGGAGTCCACTTTGATGGAAGTCTGACTTGGAGACCACACAGCAGAGCGGCTGTCATAAACTTAAAAAGTGTCTGTAAAAGGCTATGTTAGTTCCCAAATGGGCATACGGCATTCAAGTCTGCGGATGTGCAGCGAAGACACATTCTCAGAAAATATGAATCAAGCAAACGTAAGCTCTAAGGGCGATGACAGTTGCCCCTTCATGGGTTTGGACCACCATGCTTGACAGAGATGTCCACATCACTATAGTGGGTATCCAATAAACCACTATAGTAGCCGATACAATGATATGTTGTCGAATCATCCAAACGGAGCAGCTAGAGGATAACTGCACCCTCAAATCCCATGCAGACTCAAACGTCTACACCCCTCGAACACTAAAAGTAGGCAAATTTTGTAAATACTAAATGGAATAGTAAAAAATTGTAAACTCTTACCAAGAAATACCAAAAATATTTAATCATAGTTTAAGTAAAACTGTTTTCTAATAATAGGTAATAAAAACATATATATTTATACCCGATACTCAGTGAGTTTGGTTCCTCAGAGGGTCAGAGGGCGCACACTGCACGATGAAGAGTGTGTGTGAGCGAGAGGGAAAGAGTCAGCGCGTGGAATTATTTGCTCCTTCCTGCTTTAATAATAATCCGATCTGATCCAGATTCGGCAATCTGCTAGATTTGGTCTCTATCTATGATTCTGCGAGCTTTCCCGTATCCTCAAAGTTGTGCATGGCACAGATTTTCGTCCCATAGACCCATATAGTACTCTTTGATTATTATAGACTATACAATCTACAGATCTGTGACTGATTTTCGTTGAGGAATCCCGTGGTTCATCTTGAACCAAAGTAAGCTAATGTAATGGATAGTTTTTCCCTGCTTTTCTGATGGAAATATCATGCAGTTTTGTTTATTCGCACGCGAAAATAATCCAAAAAGTGCCAGTATACTGGGTAACACCTGTTTCGGTTGAATACCTTCAGTTAGGAACAGATTAAATGGGTTTAAAGTTTAAAGTTAGACAATTTTGGGGTGAAGAAAGTTCTTCAATCAGAAACCATCCACTAGATACCAAACATTGCCTGATTTTATTGAATAAATAGTACGCACATGCTGTAATAGCTTTAAAAATTGTGCTCTGGGCATCTGAGCATCTGAGCATCGAGCAGCCAATGAAAACGTATTAAGTGTTGTTTGTGTTCCCCATTGTGTCGAATCAAAAATTTCATCCCCCATGCGAATTAGTTGCTGTAACTTAATTATGCCGAAAAATCAAGGAAATTAACAACTGCCATTCATCGTGACCTCGTCTCCGTTTCGGTCTTGGTCTCCGTCTCCGTTTCTGTCTGCTGCCTTTTTAGCAGATTGGAATGGGAATGGGGCAAGGGGCAAGGGGCAAGGGGATGCCATGTAGTATCCTTTGAGGCACAGGCTCGGGCGGTGCTGCCGGTGCCGGTGCTACCATAAATCCATCAAACGCTTGTGCAGCTCTCGTGAACAAATAAAATGTGTTTCAACGTCCCCGCAGATCCCACCACCCCAGCACTGTCGACAGACAGCATCGTTTGTCGGTCAATCAGTTAGCCAGCAGCCATTAAGTTTATCGCTTCAGCTGATGAGCCCAAGGACACCCATTCCCATTCCCATTCCCATTCCCATTCCCATTCCCATACCCAATTCCATCAGCATCCTGAGGCATGTGGGATGTGCCACTCCAAAGGCACTAGCACTCTCCCCCATTGGCATCCGCTTTCGCATATTTTAATAGTCAAGTAGCCATGACTGTGGCTTCCCCGGGACGCTGTTTGCTCTTCTCGAAGCGCAAACAATAGAAAAGAAAACCCCAAAGAACGGAAAAGAAATTGCCATTTACTCGGGGATCTATTATTGACTCTGTCGCTCGTCCTCCACCGGTGGCGACATGAAAGCATCAAGTGGTTGCGCGCTCCTGCCACGTGGGTGGCAACACTACCAGTATCTCCTCCATGGGACCATTACCATCCTTTGACCATTCTGAATTTGTGTTTTAGAATCTGTTCGGCGTATTGATTTTTCTAGAAGGAGTTTGTGGAGGAGTTCGCCGAGGTACGCACCTCTCACGGTACGTTAGTTACTGCTGAGACCCGCATAAATTCAGCATTTGGAAAGTCAAGCGCAGGACTCGCCCCACTCTCCCCACTCCGACCAGCTCCCCAACACCCCTCAGCCCTATATCCTTCCCCCATTCGGAACTTTCAAAGTTGTTGCTGCTGATTAGAAAGTGAAACAGAGGCGGGTGCACATCCAGCCTTATCAGGCAATGCCCTGCCACATTTCCCATGCAGGCTGCAGATGAAAGTCGAGGTGCTTCTGTTGCAGGGTATCATGACGTCATGCGTTAACGCTTTAGCCTGATTCCAGGATGATTTGGCCAATCAGAAAAAGGAGCAGAGCCCACCCCCAACCCCCAGAAGCGCAGGAGGTGGGGCCTGTGGCTCTCACTTGTAGCTTTTATATTCTTCAACGAATTTATCTCTATGCCATGCCACGCACACACTTAATAAATACAATTGAATATGTATATGTGTGCCACCTCTGCGATTGCATGGGGCATGGGCATGGGGCACAGTCACTGCTCTGCGGGCCGCCTATAAAAGGGCTGCCACAGCCGCAGGATCTTGCAGTTGTCGCAGAGTTGCGCATCCGACGCGTGTGCCCCGTGCGAAGAAATCTCCTCAACCTTTTTTTTAGTGCAGTGCAGTCCAGTGATGAGTGCCTCAGGGAAGAGTCTCCTCGGCCTGTGGCTCTACAGGAGCGGCGAACAGGAGTGGGCCGTCAAGCAGGGCAGTCCCCTGCATCAAATCAAAAAGGAGGCCTCTGTGGCCGCCGCATCCAAGTCGCATGCAAGTCTCTCGCGGCACGCGTCGGCCCCTGGTGACAATTTTCTATGTTTTTCGCCTCCTCACAAGCAGGATCGCAGCGCGGTGGAGCCACCGCCCAGATTGGCCATCGGCGGGCCGGTGGACACCTCACGGCAGCACTCACCTGGCGAGCGCATTTCCATCATCTTCACGCTCCGCAATCAGGTGGGCAATCTCGCGCGGGCCCTGCAGGTCTTCCAGGAGCTGGGCATCAACGTGCTGCACCTGGAGCTGTCGCCCCTGGAGATGGGCACCAATCAGGCGGACGTCCTGGTGGATGTCGAGTGCGATCCCCGTCGGCTGGATCAGGTGGTGAAGATGCTCAATCGGGAGGTGGCCTCCGTTAGCTATACGTCCGTGAATGCCACGAGTCACATGTCCAGGGCCCCATCGCTCTCCGCTTGCTCCAGTTTCGGTGAGTTTTCTCGCATGCGGATCCCGGAAAAGTGCACGGCAATACATTCTCGGGGATCTTCTGCTTCGGTTCAGATTTCGGCGACATGGTCTGGTTCCCCCGGAAGATATCCGACCTGGACAAGGCCCAGAATGTCCTGATGTATGGCTCCGACCTGGATGCCGACCATCCGGGCTTCAAGGATCCCGTGTACCGCAAGCGGCGCGAACAGTTCTCGGCCATAGCCAACAATTTCAAGCAGTAAGTGACACGACACCTGCCCCATCTTGCCACATCACGCATCCCCTCTCCTCACACCCCCCATGCAGCGGCAGTCCCATTCCACGCGTGCAGTACACACCCGAAGAAGTGAAAACCTGGTAAGTTTTCCAATTGAGTTTTCGCCTTGGCCCTGGTGGGGGCACAGATTGATTTTGGTTTGCGAAAACTTTCTCCTTCGAAGGGGCACTGTTTTCCTCGAGCTGCACCGCCTCTACGTGCTGCACGCCGTGCCGGAGTACATGGAGAACTGGCCGGACCTGGTCAAGTACTGCGGCTATCGGGCGGACAATGTGCCACAGCTGCAGGACGTGAGCGTGTACCTGAAACGGAAGACGGGCTTCCAGCTGCGTCCTGTGGCCGGGTACCTTTCGCCGCGGGACTTCCTCTCGGGCCTGGCGTTCCGCATCTTCCACTGCACGCAATACATCAGGCACTCTTCGGATCCGTTCTACACTCCCGAACCGTGAGTTTTCCGGCTGCTATCCCGCGGGGGGCTTTTCTTATGCCTTTTCTTGCAGGGACTGCTGCCACGAGCTGTTGGGCCACATGCCGCTGCTGGCAAACTCCAGTTTTGCTCAGTTTTCGCAGGAGATCGGCCTGGCGTCCTTGGGGGCCAGCGATGCGGACATTGAGAAGTTGGCGACGGTGGGTTTTCGGGGTTTAAATTCCTTTCGATTCCTTAAGGTTCCATCCTCCATCTTCCGTTGCTAGCTATATTTCTTCACTGTGGAATTCGGGCTTTGCAAGCAGGCGGACAGCAGCTTCAAGGTGTATGGGGCAGGTCTGCTGAGCTCTGTGGCAGAGCTGCAGCATGCCATCACCGCCGGACCAAAGATCAAGAAGTTCGATCCGGAGTTCACCTGCAAGGAGGAGTGCATTATAACCTCCTACCAGAATGCCTACTACTATACGGACTCCTTCGAAGAGGCCAAGGAGCAAATGCGGTAAGAGTCTTCCTTCTGAGAGATGTGTGGCATCCCACTTCCACAGCTAGTTCCTCCCCTTCAGGGCCTTCGCCGACAGCATTCAACGTCCGTTCGGTGTGCGCTACAATCCGTACACCATGAGCGTGGAGGTGCTCTCGAATGCCCAGAAGATCACGGCGGTGGTCAGTGAGCTCAAGGGCGACCTGAGCATCGTCTGCTCAGCGCTGAGGAAGATATCGGCCACCGATGAAAATCTGGACGTGGAATGCATAGCCAATATGCTGCACAACAGCCTGAATGTACGCGGAGCAGCCTCCGGAAGCAAAGCCAGCAGTCCCGACAACTCGGACAACTCCACGGCGGAGGAGAACTAGGGATCTCGATGGCAGATCGGGGAAACGCAATCGGAGTATTTGGGACCATTTGTTTAGAAACGAAACTACAATACAATCTACTATACACCATATATCGTATATGCAATATATATCGTGTACCCGTGCATCTCTTTGTCTATAACTAATTGTTGTTTATTTGCAAAGCCTAAAACTATCTAAATGTAAAGGCACTTATTATAAATACAAGTAATACAAGTAATAAAAGTCGCAGCGTCTTGGTGTACCGAACTTGCACTTGCACTTGTACGAGTAGGGGATTATAGTATCCTACTTGTAGATCATATCACAGTCGCTGTTGATGAGCAGCTTTTTGCTCATGTAGCTGGTCACACACTCGACAATAAAGTTGGGGATCGTCCAGAGGTTGAAGCTGAGCGCCAACGAGCGCCACTGCTGCAGTATCAGCCGCACGTCGTACAGCCAACCGAAGCGATGGCCAACGCGCTTCGACACCTGCGACGTCACGCCACGCACCACACCGCCGGCCAGTCCGCTGACGCTCACACGGCGGCCGCGCTTCCTCTCGCCCGATTCCTCTCCGGAGCTCGATCCCGAGTTCGAGCGAGAGTGCGAGCGCGAGCGAGAGCCCGATCTTGACCCAGAGTTCCCGCCAAAGGTCAGGGCGCGCTGCTCAAACTCCGGCTTGAGATCGACGCGTGGCGCGATTTGTATGCGATCGACTGTGTCACAGATTTCCGCATTGCTGATGAGGATCCCCGCCACAATGTACATCATCTTGAAGACCCTATAATGGAGGATTGTGGGATTAGTAAGGGCAATCGCAGGGAGAGCCAATGCACGCACCTCACTGTGTGTGAAAACATCTTGGGCTATAGTTCTAAATATATTTTTGCACTAGAGAAGTGCCACGCCTTATCAGTCCAGTCACTGGCTTTCTGCTTATAGATCTGGCCGATCTGCTGATTTATTTGCTAGTTTCTATGCTTCGAGCACATGTGAACAACCTGCACCTGCACCCTGTCAACGTCTCGCTCGTTCACTCTCTCTCAGGAAAAGATGTTCCGCTTCGACTGCTCTATTCCGCTGCTTGAAACCAACTGAATGCCAGGGCAGTGGATCGCCCATCCATTCCTTAAACATTCGGCAGGCGATAAGGCTGCAGTTCCAATGCTAATGCTTGTGTAGATATGATCCCATCCCTCATTCAAGTCCATGAGATTATTATTATTAGTATTTTATGTGTCTGCAGTTCATTGGAGGTGCTGTCTCTGTTCTTCTCTTTCGCTTCTCATTCTTTGGCTCTCTCTCTCTCTCTCTCTCTCGGCTTCTCTTGTGATAAGACCTCCACCTTATCGATCACAATTTTATGGATCACTTTTTCTATGGGACGACGACGGCGTCAAAATAACTCTGAATCGCTTGGAAACTACGTAATGTTTGCCGTCTCTCTTTCGTGCACTTTGGAACCATATTCACAATCCCATTCCCATTCCTATGAACTGTATGAGTGTTCAGTGTTCATTCCCTGAGAATGAGATTACCCATTGGTTTGGACATGGGCCGATGTTTTGGGTTCGAACGGTCTGTCCCATGTTCTAGGTCCGTGTGCTGGCCGGCCTTAGATTACGAGTAGTGCTCCGTTCCGCTCCGCTTCTCTAATCTCTGCCAGAGATCTCTTCCACCCAGACACCTGCAGTTTTTGTCAATACCTCGTATGTGTGTGTGTGTGTGTGCCTGGGCTTTCTTGGGTTCTTAATCCACATTCCAGATAGAGATAGAGGTTCTGTTCTGTCTCCCTTCCACTATGACTGTCTTGTGGCAAAGACTCTACCTGCAACACGGACCCTGGAACGGAACCCACCTTCGAACAAGTTTTGTCTTGGCTCCAAAAATTCTCATCAAATTCTGCAGTGATTTTCTTGGCTAGAAAGGTACAAAAAATGTGCTTTCATCACTAGTAGCCTTGTATAACAGCTTTAACGGACAGAAAGCTCTCTTTTTCCAGGTTTTCAACACCTTTCATGAGCTCAAAGTAACGAAACCGCTTTTTCTTAAGCTTGCTTTACGAAAAGCTCTTTTCTTTTCCAACAAGCTGCACTTTTTTATAAAGCTTATTGTAACAAAACAGCGTTTTCTGAAGCTTTATTAGCGAAAAGCTCTATAGCTTTGCAAAAAGGTGTACTTTTGTATAAAGCTCTCAAAAACGAAACAGCTTTCCAAGAAGCTTTCTTTACGAAAAGCTATTTTCCTTTCCCTAAAAAGCGAACCTTTTAATAAAGCTCACAATAGCGAAACAGCTTTGCCCAAAGCTTAATTAACGAAAAGCTCTTTTTCATTCCATAAGGTGTACTTTTTTATAAAGTTTAAAGTAACAAAACAGCTTTTTCCGAAGCTTTATTCACCAAAAGCCCTTTCTCCTTAATAAAAGTTTAAGGCACTTTCATTAGAAAAAAGTAAATTCTTAAGACATTAGTCTGATGATAATCCAAAATATAAAGAATAGAATGAAATTCGGAAACTCTTAGAAAGGGCTCCCCATTACTTGTAACATTTCTCTTGTCTGTCCAGAAGATACACTTTCTTCACGTTCCTAGAACTTGAGTAAAGTGTAGATACTAGATATTTCCCCTTTCCAGTGCCTACCGAAAAGAAAGGACAACCAAACGACAAAGGACACCCGTCCACAGCCAATCAACTGTTTGTCTACCGCACCGCAAGAACCACTTAATTTGTTAACTGAATGAAGGCCTATTCCATCAACAGTAGTTGACTTTGTGCCACAGACACACCAGAGAGAGAGAGAGAGAGAGAGAGAGAAGAGAGGAGGTGTCCATCCTGAGGAAATTCTTAAGCAACACAGAGACGCCACAGAAATTCCCACATAAATTATGCACAAGTCCAGAGCCAAGGGTCGAGAGGCTTGACCACTGTCGGCCGGCTGGCGTCCAGTCGACAGGCAGGATCCGGCTACGAGTCCCTGTTCGTTCGGGTGGGGCGGGGCGGGGCGGGGCGGGGCGGTGTGGGAGGTGTGTGTAAAACAAGATTATTTACAAAATGCACAACAAACCACAGAATCTTAAACACAGCCCCCGGGGGCGGAATGGGTCCGGGATGGAAAGAAAACAATTTTCACACAATTTTCTGGAGCCACACAACGGAAAGGCTAACAACAAACAATCAAACGACCAAACAGCAAAGATACAGGACTCAGGGACGAGGGTGGGGTGGGGTCGAGGAGGCCAGAAAGTTGGCAGCCAAACAAAAGTAGGGATGATGATGGGCCACGGGGGCATGCGGCTGGGGCTGGGGCAGGGGCAGACAAGTCTGAGCTGCCAAAAGGTATTCCCCAAGAATGTCGACAATAAGGAGCCAGAGGATGGGAAGGCACTGATTTGTCTCCTCATTCTCTCTGGCTGTTTGTGTGTGCCACAAAACACTTCCTGCCACACACACACACACAGACAGCTCCTTCTCCTCATTTACAGAACAGACTGTTGCTGCCGCTGCTGCTGCTGCTCCTTGCTTTCATTCACAAAACACAGCTTCGTTTCTCATTCGCACTGGCAGGGCAGCACACAGAGCTCCTTCTCCCAGTCGCACACACATTCTGCTTGGGTGGAAATGGAGACGTTATCGTCCTCATCATTTGGCATCGTCTTGGAGCAGGAAACGGCAGCAACAGAAGCAGCAGCAGCAGCCAGACGACGGCCTTGACACACAATTGTGGTCAAAAACAGGAGCAGGCACCCAGGCACCCAGGCATCCAGGGATCCAGGGATTTGAGGGTCGAGAGCAGGGATAAATGCTCATTCAAGTGTCCAGTCTGAAAAATGGCCTCCCCCTACTCCTGCCACAGCTTGGGGCATTCAAGGAAGCTGCACAAGTCCCACACAGAGCGAGAGCGAGAGAGAGAGAGAGAGAGTCGACGAGGCGAAGAGAAGGTCTCGTCGGTTAATTGTGTGTTGCCACCAGTACTTGGGTCCTTGGCTTTCGAATGGGGAGGAGTCCCGAGTCCTTGCTCGTTTCGACTGGGAAATGGAAGCAGTCCTTGGCCTTCGACTGGGGAATGGTTGGAGGCGGAGTCCTTGGTTCTTATGGGGATTCCTGCATCTCCTGGCTGCTGCTGCATGTTTGCTGCACTTCTGGCTGACATTTGCCGGAGCCCCAGCCCCAGCCACAGCCGCAGCCACAGAGTCGTGCCACCAAGTGCCTGGCCAGCCACTTGTTGCTCAAGTGAAATGTGCGACTTGATTGGCCAAAAGTATAATTGAAGGGATGCCAGGGCGCCTTAAAGATTACCAGCAGACGAGCCAGCGTGCAGCTTAAATGCAAATTGAAAACCGAATGGAAAATCGGTGAAAAAAAATGAAGAAAGGAAAGCTAACGAAATAACGAAAATCGCTTAATAAATTGGCGAACAACAAAATGGAAATTGAAAATAATGAAAATGCATAAAAAACTCACACAGAGAGAGAGAGAGAGAGAGAGCGCGCAGAGGGGCAGAGGAGGAAGCACTTGGAGCTTAAATCGGAGGAAGGAAGGGGCAAGTCCGGCAAGGTGTTCCTCTGTAGATGATATATGATGGAACCGCAGCAGCAGGAGCAGCAGCAGCAGGAAATAATTCCCAATCCCCAGGCAAATGCTGGGGGTAGGATGGGGCACATGCAAATATTGAAACGGGTGGAAACCAGAGGAGGATTCTGAACGGGCCGGGGATGGGGGCAAAAGAAATCTAAACAACAGCAGCAGCAGTCTGTATTTTTGGCCACAGCCACTAACAATAAATGATGATGGCCAAAAATCCAACTTGCACGAAGGCAGAGATGTGGGGGGGGGGCCCTTCTCCCCCTCTCCCCTCCTGGAAAACTCCGCTGATTAAACGCGAGTGCCACGAATGCGTCGCGAGGTGACGACGACGGCGACTACGACATGGACATGGACATGGACATGGGTCTGGGTCTGGGAGCAGGACTCGGAGTCGGAGTTGGAGTCGGAGTTGGAGTCGGAGTTGGAGTACTACGTGTCCAGACAGGCACTGACTGCAGTCGAAGCGCAGATCCGCAGACAAACGACGACTAGAAAGGGATTCCGCTGGAGCTGGAGTCGGAGCAACTCCTTCTCCTGTTTGCCGATGACGTCGCCTGATGGCTCCCCCCCCACCCCCCCCACCCGACCAAGTCCGCAATCGACTCCGGAGTTCGAGTCTGTGGCAACATTTTTCGGAACACAAAGGACCAGAAAACTGCAGATTGCAAAAAATCAACTACGATTTGGCCAGAGGTCTGCCACATATTTGTTGGGGGCTATATGCTTCGGGGATATACTACATATGGCCACACGCCACTGCCACTCCCCCACTCCCCCATTCGCCCACCGCCTCTTTGGTTTTTTGTTAGGCAAACATTTCCGTTTGGATTTTCTTTATTTTTTGTTTTTGTTGTTGTTGTTGTTTTTCTCTAATTTATTTCTAGATTTTATTTGTTTCGCTCTCTCCGAAAAACACTCCACTCCGCATGCAAATGATGTTGAATGCGATAAGTGTTTTGAAGGGGTTGCTGCTGCTGCTGCGGCGCTCCTGCCCCTGCCCCACACCTGTGTCCATCCCCCCCCCCTATGGAAAATGGGGAAAAAACTGCAGACACCAGGAGGTGGGGGGGGATGGAGGTGGTTGAGAATCGCGGAATTTGAAATATGAACTTGAGGGACGACGCGTATTGTCTGCTGCCCCCTGATTATGTCTGGGCAGCATCTAATTCCTCCCTCTTTCTGGGGGAGGCCAGCATCCAGCCGCCCCCCCCATTGCGCCTCGCTAGCGTCCAGCGTTTGCTGCAAGTTGATTTATTAAGATGTTTTTATTAGGACAATAGAGGACACTGGGGGACACTGGAGGACACTGGGGGACACTGGGGGACAAGCCCTAATTGCTGGCTGAAGCCACAGCAATGCCATCAATTAGGAGGGAGATCACCGTGTGGCTCCCCGAAAGCACTTAAGGTTGCAAGAGGCACGAGGCTTCAAAGGAAGGTAGTTTCTAGGAAGATTCAGAGGTGTCGCCAGCTACCACACGAGGTTTCTGGCAAGGTATCGCA